AAAAAAAAAAAAAGTATTTATTTACACATATCTGGAGAGCAGCTATTGGTGATGACCAAAGTATATAATGAAATGTAATGACATCAAATAAAATGTATGTGAAACTCCTGAAATTAAATACTTACTTTATTTTTAATATTCACTCATAATTCAAAATAAAAGAATAAACAGACATATAAAAGCCTGCTGCTTCACCATGACATTAGACAAAAGTTTTAGGATTTTGAAAAATAAAATAAAACGTAAAAAATAAATAAATAATAATAATAATAATAATAATAAAATAAATAAAAATATAAAAATATAAAAGCCTGCTGCTTTGCCTTTACAATAGGCTGTCAAAAATAAAAATAAAATAAAATAAAATAGTAAAAGCTTGCAGCTTTTAAAGCTTGCAGTAGGTAACAGTTCTAGGATTCTGAAAACTAATCTATAATAAGAAATAAAATAAATAAAAAAAGCCTGCTGCTTTCCCATTACAGCAGGCAAAGTCTTATGATTTTAAATTAAATAAAATAAATTTAAAAGCAATGTAAATAACTACTGCTTCACCATGACAGTAGTTAGGCCTGAAAGGTAAGACTCATAACTACAATTAGGTTTTAGGATTTTGAAAAAAAAAAATGAATTAATGAACAAACAAACAAATAAATAAATGCCTGCTGCTTCACCATTACAGTGGGCAAAGTATTGGGATTTTAAAAAATAAAATAAAAATAAAAATATAACTGAATAAATAAAATAAAAATGTAAAAGCCTGCTGCTTCACAATGACAGTAGGCAAAGTTTTAGAAAAAAAATAAAAATAAAATGAAATGGAAAAAAATGTAATAAAATGTAAAAGCCTGCTGCTTCATCATGACAGTAGGCAAAGTTTTAGAAAAAAAAAAAATAATAAAATAAAATGAAAAAAGCCCACTGCTTCATCATGACAGTAGGAAAAGTTTTAGGAAAAAAAAAAAAAAAAGGAAATTAAAAATATAAATAAAATAAAATCTAAAAGCCTGCTGCTTTGCCATGACAGTAGCAAAGTCTTAGGATTTTGAAAGATAAAACAAAATAAAAATATAAATACCTGCTGCTTCACCATTACAGTGGGCAAAGTTTTAGAAAAAAAAAAATGTAAATAAAATGTAAAAGCCTACAGTTTCGTCATGACAGTAGGCAAAGTTTTAGAAAAAATAAAATAAATTAAAATAAAATAAAATAAAATGTAAAAGCCCACTGCTTCATCATGACAGTAGGCAAAGTTTTAGGAAAAATAAAATAAAATGAAATGAAAAATATAAATAAAATAAAATGTAAAAGCCTGCTGCTTCACAATGACAGCAGGCAAAGCTTTAGGATTTTGAATAAAAATAAAAATAAATAAAATGTAAGTTTTAGGAATTTGAAAAATAAATAAAATAAAATAACTACTACTTCACCATGGCCTAAAAGTGAAAACTGTGTAAGAAGACTAAAGCTTCAAATGTAATGTCCGTTCTAGCGCCCCCTGTAGCTGTAACAGGACATCCAGCTTCAGCGGCCTGCAGTGTTCATGTTTCGGTCCGCATCCAAACTCATCTCAGTCTTACCGTGATCTGTGATCTTGCAGGACACCAGATAGAGCTCCTTCAGACTCCGACCCTCCTTAGCGATGATCTCCACACACCTGCCAACACACAGCAGAGAGACGGACAGGGTCAAAGGTCAGGAAAGGTCTAGGGTCATCCGCAGACGCTCAGATCAGCAGCTCGTTAATCAAAGCAGGTGTAATTCCATCACCTGAGCGTAATTACATCACACTCTCCTGAAACCCAATCATTAAATGTGACTCGCCGCCGGCCCTTTCTTCTCCACTGACCCCGTATCTGCACCTCAAAAGCGTTGGGGAAGAAAATTAATAATTTAAGTGAATCGACTCTGATTAAAAACTAAAAGGGCTTTCAGATGGGAAAAGCCTCCGTGCTAAAACTACTAATGCCACGACTTCAAAGACGCGTCAGTGGGATGTGATATTGTTGCATGCATGATGGAGAAGAATCACAGCAACCCCTGTATGAACAGACCTGACTGTCTGACCCTATTAACCTTTAGTGCAGCATTCATCCTCCAGAGAGAAGCCTTCAGATCTACAGCTGATACAAAATCTGTTCATGAAGTGATGGGAAAAGCTCCTTCGGAATCAGTGGAGATCAACTGACAACCCATGACGAGGTCCTGAATCACATTTGCATTCATGCATTTGACAGACGCTCACATCCAAAGCAATAATGCATGCAGGAAAGCTTGGTTTACAGAGAACGTACACATATTCAACACACAAGACGCATTACAAGAGTGAACAGAAACATTAAGAGAAAATTCAAAATACAAGACATGTATTTTCATCAATTTGTGCATCTCTGGGAATAGGGGAGTGCGATCTGACGATTTTTGATCGTGGACGATTCAAATGTCTCCACGATCTGCTTTTGAAGAAATATGGTAATATTCTATCAGTGGCAGTTCTGGCACCTCCGTCTCAATATAGTGTACAGCGCCACATACATTCACATTAAATGTTAACTCGGCGGTAGAGTTACGCTCACGGGATGCTGCACTTATTCACAATCACAAAAGTACTGTATTTGCATTTGCTTTAAAGCCTTGCCGGTTAAACATTTCATTCACAAGCTGTTCTGACATGCGACATGCGTACATCTGAAGCGCGCGCACACTAAAAATCCTGTCAAGCAGCGCCTGATTACTGGAATGAGTTATCTTTCGCGTCTGATTACGCTAATACTGTCAAAAAAACACAAGGTTTACATATAAACACAGTTGGTTATGTCCAAATTCAAAGTAAACAGTCGAGAGAGAAACGGATGCGTTGTAGGTCTTAAAGTGACAGCAGTCTAATAGCACTAACCATGCTGCTGCTCGTCATTAAAGGGAAAGTTCACCCAAAAATTTAATTTCTGTCATTACTTACTCACTCACATGTTGTACCACACCTACAGTGACACTTGAAAGTTTGTGAACCCCTTGCAGAATCTGTGAAAATGTGAGTAATTTTAACAAAATGAGAGATCATATAAAATGCATGTTATTTTTTATTTAGTACTGTCCTGAGTAAGATATTTTACATAAAAGATGTTTACATTTAGTCCACAAGACAAAAAAAATAGCTGAAATTATTTTCAAGAGCCAGGGGGTGAAAAGTTTTGAACAGGATGAAGATGTCCAAATTTTTCTTATTTTGTAGAAATATATATTTTTTCCATTTAGTACTGCCCTTCGGAAGCAACAAAAGATACTTGCATGTTTCCCGGAAGACAAATTAAGTACAATTTACCCTGATCTTCAAATTCAAAAAGTTTTCACTCCCCGGCTCTTAATGCATCGTGTTTCCTTCTGGAGCATCAGTGAATGTTTGAACCTTTTTTAATAGTTGTGTTTGAGTCCCTCAATTGTCCTCAGTGTGAAAAGATGGATCTCAAAATCATACAGTCACTGCTGGAAAGGGTTCAAATACGCAGAAGATGCTGGAAAACTGAAGAATCTGCAGGACACGGAGGATTTTTCTGAAGAACAATGCTCAGTTTAACTGTTCAGAACAAACAAGGGACTCATGAACAACCATCACAAAACAAAAAACAGTCGTGGATCATCCAGGTAACCACACACAGTATTAAGAACTTTTGAACAGGGTTATTTTAATAATTTCATCAAATGCACATTATTATTCTTTAGCTTGGGTTAAACAAATCAATTTTAATTGTTTGGAACAGCAGCTACGCTAATTATGTCTATTTGTTTCTCAGTTTTTGCCACAGGATTGGCATCCCGTGGTAACTAGGATTTACACAAGCTTCAGTCTGGATCCAGAACACCTGAGAAGAGATGATGCCAACCCCTCAGAGGACCTCAGATGATGCCAACCCTGAAACAACATACAGAACTACCACATTTTGCTATAAGTTTGATTGCATCATATAATAATTGCTGTTAATAGTGTTCATCGTCTGTTTGATTACGTCTTTAATTTATTTTCCCGTACATTTCTGCCATATGTACATTAACTGACAGTCACCACTGATAAGCTACCTCTAAATATTGTAGAAACTTAATTTGCAACGATTTGTATTGTGAAAAGCGCTGTACAAATAAACTTGAATTGAATTTTGTATGATCTCTCTTATTTTGTTAAAATTACTCACATTTTCACAGATTCTGCAAGGGGTTCACAAACTTTCAAGTGACACTGTATATTAATTTCTTTCTTGTGCTGAGCACAAAAGAAGATATTTTGAAGAATGTGGGTAATCAAACAGTTGCTGGTCTTTGAATTCTTCAAAATAACTTCTATGTTCAACAGAAGAAAGAAACTCATTCAGGTTTAAAACAGCTTGAGAGTGAGTAGATGATGACAGAATTGTCATTTTTGGCTGAACTATCCCTTTAATATTAATAAAACAACAAAACACATAGAAAAATCCCTCACTGCTCTTGACTGAAGAACTTTAATACGGTTGCTTTAATAAGAATCAATGTATAATGTATAAAGTGAAGTGTATATAGTGTTTTATTTTTATATGTGTTCATTCAGTTTCTGTACCTGAAAATAAAGCATTGTTTGGTTTATTTATTTTGTTACCTTATAAGGCTTTGTTTTTAAAGTAGCGAAATTAGTTTGGCTGTACTGCTCAGACAACTTGCAAAATAGTAAAACCAACATAACAAAGATTCGTGATAAAATCGTGAATCGAGAAACTGAACTGCCCTTATACACAAAATAGACATTTCCCACAACATACTGCATTACTAAATACAAAGAGGACAAAAATAATAAAATCAAATAAAAATAAATAAATAAATGGTAAAAGCAAACAAAGAAACTTGCAAAAGCATGCAAAGTTTTAGGACTTTGATGAAATAAAATTTGATAAAATAAAAGACTGTTGCTTCACGGTGGCAAAGTGTTAAGATTTTGAAAAATAAAAAAACAAATAAAGGGGAAAAACAAACAAACAAAGAAATAAAATGATGTACACAACTGTTGCTTCACCATGACATATAGGCAATAAAGTTGTATTTATTTATTTATTTCTGCAGGTTTGGGCCACTGTATGTCATTTAGTATCATTTCTTGAATAAGATTTTATTTTGTGTTAATTTTAGTTAAAGGTTTAGTAATTTTGTTGTGCACTTTTGTCTTTTTTTATTTTAGTATTTGCTGTTTTTAAACGCCTTTATAGTTTTTATTAATGATTTCAGTGTGAGTTTTAGTTATTTTAGTACATCAAGTTAAACCAAAAGAAAATGAGAAATATAAAAAAAATTTTTTTTTTACATTTTATTTCAGCTAACATTTATTTTATTTCAAGTATTGGTTTTAGCTTTGGTGAACTGTAATATAGCGATGCAGCTTTTATCTTACTGTAGGCTGATCGTCTGAAATCACTCATTATAGAGGTTCGCCCTCGGCTTCCTCTCTTCACTAATTCCTCTTCCTGCGTCGCCGCGGCAACCATGACTCAAGGCCGTGATGTCCAATAAAGGGACATTAAAGTAGTTTCCATGACGACAAAGACACTCCACAGTCAGCCAATTAGGCTGAGATCAGCGGCGGGCGGGCGAGGGATGGTCAGACAGAGAGAGAGAGAGAGACTTCGACTGGCCGCAACAATCAGGACAGACGTGTAAAAACAGGCTGGAGCGGATAATCACACTGATGATGATGATGATGAAGATGCATCTTCATCAGGGCTCAAACACGCCTCCGCGGCGTTTGTGTGTCATTAGCGTGTTTACTTTAATCAGAGCGGCTGATTGGTGACTGACAGGATTGGGAATCAAAGTCCAGCTCTTGGAAAGAGACACGACGCAATGGAAACAAGGCACTCTTATGATTAACAAAAGTTAATTTTGTTTATATTTATATCAAAACAATGTGATTATGATGATTCGACAGCTGCATTTACTAGCAGATCTGACTCTAATCATGTCAACTGAAGTCAATCACCTTCACTAACTCACCAGTAACGCCTGTAAGCACAGTCACCATTAACCAAATACACACATAAACAACTTACACTGTGTCTGATCTGCTTTGTGTATTTCAGTCTCTCCAAGCTTGTTGATTTAAGGTCGTTTTTCTTCCGTTTAAAGATTTAACAGGAGTTCAGTCTCACTCTATGACCACACAACCAGAGTTATTATAGTTAACTACAACTAAAACCAAAAAAATGTTACTAATCAATGTTACTAATGTTTCAAAATGTTACTAATTAACATTAACAGACATAAAATAAAAATGTAAACTTATTTTATTTCAGCTAGTTGCCAAAGCAACATTTCTCAATTTAACATTTTAGTTTAGTTTATGTAAATAACTAAAACGGAAAAAAGAAACTACTACTAAACAAATACTAAAAATGACAAAAACTAAAATTACTAAAACTTTAACTCAAATTAAAATAAAAAAGGAAAATGTAAAAATACAAAATAATTCAAAATATAAATAAACACTATTAAAGTATCTCAAAGATACTAAAATAACATTGAACACAACAATACCTTCATCTCTTACCATATTCATGACAGCTCTAGCATTTATTTATTTATTGTTTACTTATGTTTAATGAAATTAATAAATATAAATAAATATAATTACATAAATATAAATAAACAAATTAAGAGACATGATTAAGGAATAAATTAATATATATATATATATATATATATATATATATATATATGTTTAACTATTTGTATTAATTTATTTGTTAATATATTCATTTAATTATAATAAATTTAACTTAAATGTATTTTTATATTAAATATAAATAAATAAAATTAAGCAAATAAATGAATGCACATAATAAAGACAATAAATTTAAAAAAAACATTTATTTGTGTAATTATATTTATTCATTAATTATTACTTGTTAATTTAATTATATTTATTTGTTGCCATATCAGCATGAATGGCTATTGTCATGGCAAGATTAAGTATTTTAAAACAAATGATCCAGACTAATTCTTTACAATAAAAGCTACACGTTGATCTTTCTATTTTTCCCCCCTGCTGACGCTCTCAGTTCCTTCATCAGCAGCTCTGATTCAGAGCAGAACCGCATTAAACACACAGGCGCTGTGTGAACGGCCTTCAGACCTGAACCTGATTCACAGGAGATCCGAGGAGACACAGACGGAGCCGCAGGTGTCTCTGTCAAAGACAATAATACAGCCGTCAGGTGTCGAACATCAGATGTGTGGCGACGCCCCCGACACCCTGCTCCACCAATCAGAGCACAGGACAGATGTCCGGTGAGTGACCTCATCAGTCAGACGCTCAAGGACAGCGAGACACACTCATATCAGCAACGTCTGCATTTCAGCGACCCGCAGACGGAGCGCACTCACAAACACATCATCAGATTATCAGACTTACTGCTAGATTTGAGAACATTTGATAACATAAATCGTTTAATTTACAGTCTATATTGTGATCGCCACATACTGACACATGGTTCCTGGTTTACAGGGCCAGTACAGCTATAATTACTGATCAGAATCACATTTTCTTCTGTGCAAAAACGGGCTCAGATTTATTTTGGGGTGAACTATCCCTTAAAGACATCTTTCAAAAATAATATAAAAATATTTATTAATATTTTTTATTAATGTATTTATGGATTATTACTTACATATACTTATATATGAATGATTACTTATATATAATTAATATTTTATAAAATTTTATTATTACTTATATATTAATATTCTTTATTTTTAATATTTTGTATCATTTATATTTTATTTTATATAATAATAAATTATCTTTATAATAAATATAAAATAAATAAAATAGACATATTTCCATAATAATTATAATAATATTTATTAATTGTAATGTGTATTTATAAATTATTACTAGCTACTATATTCTAAAGTGAACAAAACAATAAAATACATATATACAATAAATGAAATTTAAATTAAAAAAAGAAAATGATATAACATTGTAATATCTATTATTAAGGGCCACTATTTTAATATACATAATAAATGAATAATAAATCAAATATAAATTAAAATACTGAAAATAACACTGTAATACTTGTTTTAAATAATAAACATTACATAGCTAAATTGTTAATATTTTGTATGATTTATATTTTATTTTATATAACAATAATTAGAAATAATCTTCATAATAAATATAAAATAAAACCGAGATGTTTTCCACTTGTTAACCATCAGACACTTTCAGCAGTGTGACCTCCGTAAATAAATGTAGAAATGAAACTCTTCTAAAGCACATAATGTAGAAATATGTCTAATCTCATGCAGATAAATGAACTGAATGTGAAAGCAGGTTTTGAATGCGTCTCACAGATGTAGTAAAACACTGGTAATATTCAGACGCAGCCATCAATGTTTAATAAGAAACATTAGTGTCGCTCTTCACATCTTCACAAGAAGACAAGACCAACACAACAATAAGAGTCGCACATAAAGAGCTCATTTATCACAAAAGAGCCAGACAGATGCGAACCCACAGACGGGTCAAGAGAGAAAAGAGGAATTCACCAAGAAAAACCCATTTAAAGACACAAACTCAAGGCTGTGCTTCTTCCATTCAACAAGAAAAATACTAGGGGTGTAAGAAAATATCGATACACGTGCGTATCACGATATTTTGTTTGGCGATACTGTATCGATTCTCAAAAACAGAATATCGATATTTAAAAAAATTATAATACAAGACTTTCGGTGTACAAAGCTGAAGTGTGGTGTCATTTGGGCTTTTAACGTCCACCGCGGGACCGTGGCACGGGTGCCGCCTCGGTTCCGCCACTTGCCGCGTCCCGCGTGAAGAGCCTCGCGCGAG